GTCTCATCTGTAAGTACATATTTGGACGGAACAAGTCAAACATCTGGAGTTTTCACTTAACATTTATTTCACAAGTGTTTCAAGTGCTAAGCAACTGAGCAGTAATCATTTCAATGCACCCTTTAATCAATAAACGTTAAACAAGTCTGCTCAAAACACCTAAGTCCTACAAATGTGTCCCTATGAAAAATATGGCAAGAAAAAAATAACAAAAATAAAATAAGTATCCCTTTGACAGTCAGGCAGAAAGGTGTTTAGTGATCCAAATTCAGACAAAAAAACAGTCCTTTCAGCAGATGAGCAAATAGTTTCCTCTGCAAGTGACACATTCGGGGATATTTACACTGCCAAACATAACTCATAATGACAACCACCAAGGAAGCAAAACCTAATGGAAAAACCCCAAGCTGGCAACCAGGTGCCCCAGTTCTGGTTCCACGACAAGCCTCTGGCTATGTGATCCTACCAGAGTGGTAGCCAGCCCTGTACCCCTTTCTTCAACACAAGAATGAATATCCATCACCACCCACACCACTCAGAAACGTTTTAAGGACAAAAAAAAAGAGAGGTGAAAATGCTTTGGAATGTGGCCTCTATAAGTACAAGTCATCATTATTATTAGCCTAAAGATGACTGAGAAAATAGGATTACAGAATATCATCGGTGAGAGGGAGCTTAGAGATGGGGTGATCCCGGAGTCCTCAATCTGGCCCAGGCCTCTGAGGCTGCGGGCTTTCTGGGAAGGAAGCCACAATTTTTATATTCTCAAAAGGTTAAGAACCTCTCAGCCCCTCATCTTACAAATATAAAAACTGAGACCCTAAGATATGTGACTATCCTAGGCCTCAAGGTTAGTGAGGGAAAGGCTGGCCCAAGGCTCCTCAACTCCATCCATGCTCCTCCCACTCCACCATGCCACATTTCTAGGGAGGACAAAAGTCACACAAATCTGACAGCCACAGAGTGTGTTACACAAGCCGCTGCACGTGTGGTTGCTAAAGTCATAGCAAAGTTTTTATCCTCAGTTTTCTCTTCTCAAGGCTTCCTGCTGAGGGCTTTGCTGGTTGAAACAGCTTTTCCTTCATTCCTGTATTGCCCTCTCTACCTAGTTCGGTGCCTGCAGCCAGGAAACAAATGACTTTTTGATACTGAAATTTTTCTAAAGAAATTAAATACACAGGGTGCCTGGGTGGCTCAGTCATTAAGTGTCTGCCTTCGGCTCAGGTCATGATCCCGAGTCCTGGGATCCAGCCCTGTGTCGGGCTCCCTGCTCTACAGGAAGCCTGCTTCTCCCTCTCCCACCTCCCCTGCTTGTGTTCTCTGTCACATAAATACAATCTTTAAAAGAAATAAAAAAGAAATTAAATACACATAAGTATATGTCAAACATATCTCAATTAAAAAATAAAGATTTGGGGGCATCTGGCTGGCTCAGTCAGTAGAGTGTGTTGACTCTTAAACCTGGGGTTGTGGGCGCCTGGGTGGCTCAGTTGGTTGAGCGACTGCCTTCGGCTCAGGTCATGATCCTGGAGTCCCGGGATCGAGTCCCACATCGGGCTCCCTGCTCAGCGGGGAGTCTGCTTCTCCCTCTGACCCTCTTCCCTCTCGTGCTATCTCTCATTCTCTCTCTCTCAAATAAATAAATAAAATCTTTAAAAAAAAAAAAAACCTGGGGTTGTGACTTTGAGCCCCACATTGGGTATAAAGTTTACTTAAAAATAAGATCTTTAAGGAGCACCTGGGTGGCTCAGTCAGGTAAGCATCCAGTTCTTGATCTCAGCTTAGGTCTTGATCTCAGGGTCGTGAGTCCAAGCCCCAGTGTGGAGAGAAAGAAAAGAAAGAAAAAAGGAAAGGGAAGGGAGGGAGGGAGGAAGGAAGGAAGGAAAGAAAGAAAGAAAATCTCTAAAAAAAAAAATTAAGGGACCCCTGGGTGGCTCAGTTGGTTGAGCATCTGACTCTTGGTTTTGGCTTAGGTCATGATCTCGGGGTCCTGGGATAGAGCCCTGCATCAGGCTCAGTGCTGAGTCAGCCTGGGATTCTCTCTCTCTCTCTCTCTCTCCTTCCCAACCCCTACCACCCCACCCCCACACACATGCGTGCACTCTCTCTGTCTCTAAAATAAATAATCTTTAAAAATAATTAAAAACAAAATGAAAATTTTATTCTAGAAAATAAAAAATAGATTACATGGTGCTGTTTTACTAAACAAACATAAATGTTCAATCATAGGAACAAAAAGAAATCAATAAAGAAAGGAGACTGTTGTTTTATGTGCTTTTAATCAAACTACCAGCACGTGTGGTCTTAGACGGCCACTGTTCTTCAAATAGTTATCTTTGGAACTACACATATGCCAAGAATGTAGCATGGCACAGAATACTTCTGAGTATACTTTGAGAATTCCTCTTTTAAGACTGTCTCCAGTCAGCAGGCAGAACATAATTATCTGAATACTAAATATTTGAAGGCATTCCTACACAGCCATCCCAGAGACCACCACCGGGACCTATCAGGAGTCAGGTTTCAGGCACTGAGATGCGTTTAGGTGAAGGCTCACTGCCAGGGCCATAGAGAAAGGTCTCTACGTGTGGAACGCAAACTGACTTCAGAACCGAGGCACGGCTACGCTGCTCCCAGCTATGCCACTGCAGTTCCAAACAACCTAACTGGGAAAGAAACTGAGCCAGCACCACCGTTCACATGAATGTGGTCATTACCCCCATAATCTACAGGGTGGCCTCCGCAAAGCGGCCATGACAATCTGATGGCAGATAAGGCAGGCTCGAGTCAGCCGGGAAGTTCAGGTGAGGGTGGCCAGAAAGCCCTTGGTAAATGCTACCCGACCTCTAAACACAAGGCACCATTACTATTATTAAGGAATCTATGAAATCTTTTTGATATTCCATAACATCCTGGAATCGACTGATGACCCTGTCATAAGCAGGAAGCATCATGTCCTTAACTTGGTCTACGCAGACTTTCAAGTGAATAGAGGAGAAAATGAAAAGGTAAAGGACAAATGCCCCCTCGGTTCCCACCCCCATTGGTCTGGCTATCAGAGATTTGGATTACGCATCCAGGACTAGGGAAAGACAACCTTATCTCCTAGCAGCAGGCTCTGTCCGAAACCCAAGCACTGTTTTTTACATATGCATACTTTTAGGTTATTTAAATATTATGACCTCTCATATATTTAAGACTAAAAGTAATAAAGTTCCAGTTCCCAAACAGCATGAGCTGTTTCCACTCAAATGGGTTTTTATTCTTCTCCAAAAAAGTCAATCAAGAGTGCAGACGTAATCACTCTTCTAGTCCTCTGTGTTATGTTACTTTCCCAAGTAATAAATATCATCAGCCTACTGGCCAGTTACTTTAAAACCTTGAAGACACTTCTCAAAAGAAAATCACACACCACAGAAAAGTTTTTGATGTGACCTCATATATCAACTAGCATAACCTCACCAAGGAGACTGATTGCCGAGCTCTAGAATTAAGTTTCAACGCACACAGATGAGTTTCGTTTCCCATGTGAATGAATCAAGAAAAACCCAAGCCGCACTGCCTCCTATTCAATGCCTGTATGTGGAGGCTGCAAGCAGGCTTGTGAATCAAGTGGAGTAACAACATCTGGGGCCAGAACCGGAGGGGGCTGGCGTTCAACTGCGCCCACCTGGCTGGTTTCCTCGACCTGGGCTCCAAGCTGGCAATCCCAGGAGGGTTAAAACAGAACTTCAGCATACAACTGCGGAGGAGGGAAGGAAGCTGTGAGCTCACCGGCAGCAGCTCAGGTTTGAATTCTTTTAGCAGTTCTCTTGATTTTCATCAGGACAGCCAGGAAGTGTTTGGTAAACAGTGTAAAGAGTAGCCGCGGAGACTCTGGGCAGCCTACCCTCCTTAACCACAAAAAAGAACACAGGATAGTTGGAGTAGAAAAGACCCAGGAATGGTTACACACACACCCCACCTTGAAGGCCGCCTTCCCCTGGGCACCCAACTGGAGAGCAGCATCCTCAGAGGCTAGAGCTGTGCGGGGCCCCAAGGAGAGAGCACAGCTTGCTCTCCCGACCAGCTCCATCCGAAAAGAAAATCGCCCTTCTCCGGTGGAGCCAAAACCCCAATGAACGACTTAAACTCGGGGGCAGAAATCGCTACCTCTCCAGCCCGGAACCCCTCCGATGCGCCAGCAGGCTCGGAAACCCCAGAAGAGAGAAAGCGCTCACGTTCCTAAGAATCAATGACAGTCTGGGAAACTCCGAGGGTGGACGGGCAAACAGCCCCAGCCTCTCCTGCCCGTCCCCCGTCCCCCCTCCAGCCCTAGGATCTGCTTGCAAGGAAGGGCTCGCCGCCCGTGGAGACAGGAGAGACACGGGGAGGGTGGAAAGGAAGGAAAGGAAGGGCTGTCGTCAAAGTGCCCCAAATAAGCTCATCCGCGTCTGTGTCCCGCCTGCCCCCGCCACCCCTCGGACCCAGCCCTGCCCTCCAACTGGCGCTTACCAGCCACACCGCTGCTCCCGCGCCGCTCCCGCAGCCGCCCTCGCCTCCCGCGTGTCCCCCAGCGAACCTCTGCGCCCCTCGGCCTCGCGGGATCCCCCGGAGCGCGCCCGCGGCTCCTCCCCGAGTCTCCCTGGAGCCGCCCACCTGCCCCTCGGCAGCAGCTCCAAGCCCGCGGGCCCCGCCGCGGTACTTCTCTCTCCGGCGACCCCCTCCCGAAAACTCGCCCGCCCGCGTCCCGCAGCCCCGCGCCGAGCCCGCCCCCCGCGGCTCCCACCCGCCCTCACCAGCCCTCCCGCGCCCGCCGCGGCCCCCGAACACGCCCCCTCCCACGGCGACAGGAAGTCCGCGCGTCGGCCGCGCGGCCGCAGAGGCTTCCCCCAGGCGCGGAGCGCGGCCCCGGAGCGGCGGCCTGACAGGGCGCGGGCCCCGCCGCCCACCCGCGCCCCCGCGTCCGCCCGCGGCGTCCCAACCGTCGCGGCGCGGCCCTCACCTCGGCCGCCGCTCACCCAGCTCCGGCCGCGACGGCGTCTCCGGGTCCGACTCCCGCTCTCGCTCCGGCCGCGCTCCTCAGTGCGGCCCTGCCCCGCTGCGGCGGCCGCTGCCGCCAGCCACCAGCGCACCGCCCCCGCTGCGCCCGCTGTGTTCGTCCCATTGGCTGCTGGGCGCCGGGCCCCGCCCCACGGCCCCTTCGGCATCCCAGATTGGGCCAGGGTGCAAGGAGGCGGCACGCTCCCTGGGGCACAAAAGGACCTCCCCCAGGCGCCATTGGCGGCGTCTCCTGTCCATCAAAGGGGGGGGG